TAAGTAGACACTAACACACACACACACATGCCTTGTTGGAAAATTCTACAATATCACACATGTTATTCAAATTGTAGCAGCCGGCGTTGCACCTAAAGTATACGCATGCGGACCACAACCAAAATCCAACAACTGCTGGCAAAAGTTTGTTCGTATTTCTTACAGGGTATGGCATTCGCTTGCATCGCGTGCGTATGCCAGTAGCAACGAGCAGGCGCCACTGGAATTTCTTGCAACAATTTAATTAATTCAGTTATAAGCAATGATAGAGGAGGTTGGATTGCTGTTTTTTCTGCAGCCTATCATTAAGTGGGCTTTACCAAACAAACATTCAATGGGAGCTAAGACTTTCGTGGCTGCTTGTTGCAACCAGTTTTGTGTGAGTCTTATTTATTGCTAGCTGTTGGTGTTGCTGTTGTTTTGACATCGTGCTGCTCTGCACATGCGCGCCAACTTGCGTGTAAAGAAAGTGTTGGCTGGATATCTCACAGCAGTGGAGGAAATTAGAATTTCTAATACCAGACAAATGGTCGTTAATTGTGATGTGGATCTATTTTTAGTGTTGTCGTTTGTCACAAGTGGCGCCCAAGCCAAGTGTGTCATGCTGACAGATTGACAGGTGTCGAAGTGGGAAGGAAGTCGGTGCATTCCAATCTATTCGACAGCTTTTATTGTTCGTCCTTGGCATTGCTTTATTGGCTATTAAATAGAATCATTGAGAATTTTTTTTGAGTTTATTGGATTAACTTTAATTATATTTAAGTTTATTGGGACACAACGCGAAACTCGCAAATATTTGAAAAAGCAAACTAATTTTTATCAAGGCCGATCTATAAGAAATGTAAAAACTTGCTTAACTCCATGGAGTTGATTTCCAAGAAATTGTGATAAAGCCAAACTACAGAATTAGTTAGATAATATACTCTTTACTACCGAAAAAATAAATAAATTAGCCCAACCTGTTATCCATGCCCAGAAGCTGGGCTTCCTTATTCATACCTTCCAAAGATCGGTCCTAATTTGACTACTTCAGTTAGCGGTATGTGTCTTGTATAGTAGATCTCTTTATTTTTCAATATCCCCTGCAATTTGTGATGAGCAGATTAACCTGTCCGAAAGCTTGAATATAGCATCATGTCATTTTAGTCAAGGCTCTCTAGGTATTATTAACACATAACCGAAGACAAAAGTCTATGAGTTAACAACCAACAACTCGGTGACTTTCCTTAACTTATTAAAACACAAATTCTCCTAAATTCACAAGTTTTCCTATTTTATGAAAAAGTCGAAGAAGAATAAACACCTCAAGGGGACATAATTTACCCATTTACATTGAGCTGCAAGTGTTTAGAGAACTTATAACTTGTATATTAGTACAAATAAAGCAAATGTTCGTCTTAAGAATGCTTGAAGTGGCTGTCTAATTTGTTAAGTTCTATCAATATTGATATGATCATTATTCTTTTATCAGAATGCGGCTTTGACTTACCGGAAACCCTCTCACACTTCTATTTCCATACACCTGATCATGACTAAAAGTCATGGTTGAAAGGTTCATTGACCATGTATTTGCTACCTCATGATTTGGAATCCAAAATAATTACTGCAAAATAATTTTCTTTGTTCTAAATGCTTAGACGAGACGCCGTTAAACTTTTAATTATAATAATAAATAAATTCTTTGTACTTTTATTTTTGGTGTGATATATTTATATTTTTGTTGTGATTTCATTTATATTGTATATTGATAATATATTTTTATGTATTATGATTCAAAGGACATTCAATGCGCGTGTCTCCCATAAAACTGTTTTTTCTTTGCATTTTATTTTCATTGCATTACTGCAAAAGATTGCAATTGAGACAAGGGCATCCGTAAACAATATTGTGAATGAAACTCATTATGCTCTGTGTTGAGACTATGTCCGGCGAAAAAATATAAGCACTGAAAAATTTGCAAAAGTTAAGGTAATGTTTTAGGAAAATTTAAGAGTCCAATAGCTATATTTTTTCGTAGGAATAGTGATGGTTATCAGAGAAAAAGTCATTTAAGTTAGCGTATGCTAATTTATATCGAACCAATCACTATTATATAAAAAAAAAAAAAGATTATTCGAACTTTAAAAATATAGGAATCGAAAAATAGCAAAAAATTCTTAACGTTTGAAGCATTGCAACAAGTCCAAAAGTTCTGACCAACATTGTTTTGACTAGTAAATTTGTTATCAAGCGCCTCTTAAATACACAACTAATTTCCTAATTTTCAAATGTTCTACGAGACTTAATCGAGGGTTTTTACCGATTACCCTTAACAATTTAATTGCGCTCGAACAAGCAAAAAAAGGATAGTCGGGTCTACGTAACTAGGCTAGGACTGTCAAGTCCTCAGCAATCCTCTTTATGTATTTAAAATGAAAAGAAATTTAAAAAAAAAACGAAAAAAAAAATGTTACCGTAAAATGTTTACTTCCATATTCATATGTTCTAATTTTCTGCACACATACTGTATGCCCGTAGCATATAAAAGTGTCTATGAAAAACAAAGTTCATCTGAGAATGCGTCAACATAAGACAATTACCCCAGATTTTTATCTTTTCGAAACCAAGAATATATATGTATATATATATATTATAAATCCATATATATTATGTGAGTATGTAGTATTATTAAATGTTTTCTTCTATAAGCTGCCGACTAAGCTGTTCTGAGACCTGGCTAATTGCTAGTGGACGCCAATACGGTCAATATAATTTCACAGTTGAACGCAATTGCTACATTCATATTGATGAATTACACAACAACAACAACAATAGCAATTATATTAACCGCAACAATGTTCCAAAAATATAACAGCAACAACAAATATGTAGAAAATATATGCAAAGAACAGGCGAAGAAATGTGACGAAAAAATTGAAATATGCAAATTTGATAAGAAAGTAATCGCACAACTACAAAGCCAGCGACAACAGCGGCAACTGCAGCATCTGTCAACCGCTCCTGGTTTGGGTTCGGCGATATAGGGGGCTGTCGTTGTTGCCGCGCGTTGCTGACGGTGTGTTGGCTGAATTGATAATCAAAACAAATCCAAATAATATACATATATTATATATTACTATATACATACATGTATATTAAAGCGGGTCGATTTTTTTCTCTAAAAAATCGCGTATGTTCTACGGATCAGTATATGTATACTCGTATTAGAATAACATCTGAATAATTGGTTTTATAAAAGACATGTGATATAGTTGTCCCATTTTCTTTATTTTCACTGTCATTTTTAGTATGTATTAGAGAACAGTTCTGCAAAATTACGTGCTCTTAGCTTTTTTATTAAAGGAACCGCAAAATAAAATAACTGAATAATCGTTTGTATAGGAGATATGTGATATAGTTGTCCGATCTGGCCGATTCCGACAAATGATCAATCGAAACTCAAAATACGCCCATGTATTAAATTTCATTCGGATATTTCAAAAACTGACGAAGAAATTTTTATAATCCCTAAAAATTTAACTTCACCTAAAGAATCGCTGGCTCGAAATCGTTTTTAGAACCGTATTCTTTTAGGCAAAGTTGTTCAGAATGAACCATATCCTTGGCTCCCTGTAAATCAAACCGCTTTAATGTATATAGCTATATAATATATAATATACATATGTACATACATGTAAAAAGTACTGATATTGTTAGTGTTTTTATACTCTCGCAACCTGTTGCTACAGAGTATAATAGTTTTGTTCACCTAACGGTTGTTTGTATCACCTAAAACTAATCGAGTTAGATATAGGGTTATGTATATATAAATTATCAGGATGAAGAGACGACTTGAAATCCGGGTGACTGTCTGTCCGTCCGTCCGTCCGTCCGTCGGTCCGTCCGTGCAAGCTCTAACTTGATTAAAAATTGAGATATCTTTATGAAACTTGGTATACATGTTTCTTGGTACCGTGAGACGGTTGGTATTGCAGATGGGCGTAATCGGACCGCTGCCACGCCCACAAAACGCCATTAATCAAAAACAAATAAATTGCCATAACTAAGCTCCGCAATAAGATACAAGACTGTTATTTGGTACACAGGATCACATTAGGGAGGGGCATCTGCAGTGAAATTTTTTTTTAAGTGGGCGTGGTCCCGCCTCGAATAGGTTTAATATGCATATCTCCTAAACCGCTAATGCTATAATAACAAAATTCACTGGAAGCAAATGTTTTGACGGTGTGAAAATAGTTGAAATCGGGTGGCAACTCCGCCCACTCCCCATATAACGGTACTGTTAAAAACTACTAAAAGCGCGATAAATCAAGCACTAAACACGCCAGAGACATTAAATTTTATCTCTGGGATGATATGAGATGACTTTATAGGAACCGCGTTCAAAATTAGACAGTGGGCGTGGCACAGCCCACTTTTAGGTGAAAACCCATGTCTTGAGATCTGCTTAACCGATTTTAACCAAATCGGTGCATAACGTTCTTTTCATGTTTCTATGTCATAGTGCGAAAATGGGCGAAATCGGACTACAACCACGCCTACTTCCCATATATCACACTTTTAAATTCCATCTGATTCTTTCACTTTCCACTATGCATATCAAGCAACAATTATACGTGAATAATACGTTTAAAGTATGCCACCTTGTGGCCAAAAATTGTCTAAATCGAACCAAAACTGTTTAAGCCCCTAAGCACTAAATATGTGGACCCCAGTGCCTATAGTTGACCTTCTACCGAAAATATCAGTCAATCCACAAAGAAATCTCAAACGAGTATACTATTTGACTTTGCGAGAGTATAAAATGTTCGGTTACATCCGAACTTAGCCCTTCCTTACTTGTTTTTTTATAATTTTTGCTGTTGATGCATTGTCGCTCAGCGTCGGAAGCTTTCCATTCATACATGTATTCTTCCATAATAATCGAGCAAAAACAAATGATAAACAACTCATGCTTCTTCTTCGTCTTTTCATCATCTACTTTGCTTACCTATTTTTAGATCGGTGCCTGAGTTACCTTTTCGAGGGTTATCAAACGTGGAGTATCTGAGTATAAGCGACAATGAACTCGAAGAGATCCCTAAGCACATGGTGAATCACATGCCGATTGTAAAAACATTCGATATGGGACGCTGTCGCATACGTTCGGTACTGCACGATGACCTCAAGGGCACGCAAATGGTGGTGAATCTCTTTTTGCCGAGCAACAATATAAAACGTTTGGATAAGGGCGCATTTCCGACGAGTCTGGTTACGTTGCATCTGGGACGCAATCAAATCGAGAATCTCAATAGCACGTTGCGACATCTGGACAAATTGGAATCTTTATTTATAAATATGAATCGGATTAGCAGTTTGGATGATGAATTGCCGGAATCGAATCGTTTGAAATTGATTATGGCACAGAATAATCGTTTGGAACGCTTGCCGAAGAGCATGCGCTACATGCACAAATTAGAGAATCTGCATGTGCAACACAATCTCATACGCACCTTCGATGGCATCTTCAAGCATGCGCGCAACTTAAATGAATTTCACGCTTTCAACAATGAGATCGAGTATTTACGTCAAGACGACTTTCTAGAGTGTAAAATGTTGGAGGACATTGACTTCTCGGTTAATCACATCAAATCCTTGAATAGTTCATTGCTGCCGCTGAGTCGTTTATATCGCGCCAATATTTCCTTCAATGAAATTGAGGAGTTCTCCATGAATGAAATACGCGGTTTGGTCATGTTGCGTACTTTAATGTTGAACAACAATAAAATCAAACACCTCACCGGTCACCAGGAGAATAATATTGATCAGAACTCTTACTTGTTCGAATTGTATTTGGATCATAACGAATTAAAATCTTTGGATGGCGCTCTCATGGGTTTGAATAGCTTACGTATACTAAGTCTGTCCTACAATCAATTGGAACGTATTTTACCGGAGGACTTTATCGGATTGGCTAAGTTGGAGCTGTTAGATTTGTCGCATAATCAACTATTAACGCTGAAGGAAATGGAAAGGGTGAGTAGATCAGTATAAAATAGCATACCATTCTGGAAATCTTTTTATACCCTGAACAGGATATATATATAAAAAAATTTAGCATGACGAGCTGAGTCGTTTTAGTCTATCTGTCTGTCTGTCTGTCTGTCTGTATATAAGCGAACTAGTCCGTCAGTTTCTAAAATATCGATATGAAGCTGCCGATATCTGACCACCATGGTAAAAATAAAAGTAAGGTATTTCAGAAAGTCTTCCGGGAAATAGTCGGAGAGCCTTTAAGTTAGACATATTTTAAAACGGATTTGTCAGCTATCGTGAAAATATAAACTTAGTCAAGTATTACAAAGTAAGTGCTCACAAAACTAACATTCCCAATATACTCTTGAGTAGTGACCATTAAAAAATCTCGTCCCGTCGTTGGAAATACAAAAGGTACATCCTTTAAATCGCTCCGGACTAATAGATTTTCACTGATATTTTCAGACATTCCTTCCGAACCTCAAAATCTTAAAGGCCGCCTACAATAACATCACCAGATTGGGGAAAGACTTCCACGGCCTACCCGTACTGTGTCAAGCCAACCTTACCAGCAATCAAATATCGTCGATATCATCGGAGTTAGTTTCGCAAACAAGATGTATGAACCACAATGTGCCCGGCAAATTGGAGTTGTATTTAGATGGTGAGTCTCGTCTTAATTTCCTAGAACTTCAACATTTTCTTAACACTTTTCTACACACCAACAGACAATCCAATACTTTGTGACAATCGCCTCAATGAACTCTGTCCCATCATGCTGAAGCAGGAGACACGCATTCGTGGCAAATCGCAATGTTTCGAAATTGACCAAGAAGTCTGTACCGTCTTGCCGATGCTGTTCGTCAATAACTATCCCCTGATTATACCAACACAATTGAGTCAACAAGTGTTGGCCAATGCCAAGCCGGTCGTTATAGTGCCACTACTCAATCCACCATTAAATAATGGTGACGAAGTGTTGCCACCTTTGATTGCGCCGATTATAAAACCGCTGATAATCGCACCAATGCCATCACTGGCGACGACTACATCTTCAACAACAACAACTACCGCTGCTACCAACATCCTCACAACCACAGCTGAAACACACACTGGCGAGCAAGTAGCAACTCTAGAAGCGCCCACATCTACTTTGGAAACGAATGAAACTGGCGGCGTAGAGGATCTAACTGCTGGGGTGGGCAATGCAAATCCGGGTGAAGGCGTTAATGTCAGCGCAAACAGCACAATAACGGCGGCACCGAACACAACCAAAGACAAGCCGAACGCAGTTGATTTCAACAACAATACCATGGAGACACATGCTGGTGAAGAAGATGTTGGAGTTGATGATGCAAAAGCGCCTGCCGCAGCAGGTGATGGCATAAGTGGAACACAAGCTACGGCCGCGGCACAAGAGGGAACACTACAAACAGCACATGCTATTTCAGAATTGACTAAAATTGTTGGAACACCAGCAGTTGTGGCACCGCCGCCAACAGTGCTCGAAGAAGTGTTGGGCGACAAGCCATTGTTGCCGCCAGAGACAGCATCGTTGGCGCCACCAACTGAGTACGCAACTGTTGAATATATACCGAATTTGGATGAATTCCTACCGGGAAATCGTCCGCCACCGCATGTACTCGAAGAGGATTCAAATTCGAATTCGGTGCATGAAGAATTCCCGTCGGTCGTATTGGCCGATCTCGATAATGCACCGCAAAGTCTACTAACACCGGATGAACCACCCGAAAATCCTTAAATGTTAGCCACACACACACACACAACATATTATATTACATCTACATTATTAAAATTTAAGTTTTCAATTCCCCTTCCTCACTCTCTCTGTATCTATCTATCTGTCCTGCTATTGTGTTGTCTACTATGTCCCACTTCAGGTTAATTATAAATTAATTTAATTTTGATTATCGCATTTAGTTTTAGTAGTTGATAGTTGCAATTAATATTATTATAACGGTTTGTTTCAATACGCACATAATACCCACGCATGCACATCCGAAATCCATATCACGTACGCACGCACGCACGCACGCGCACTCATAAACAATTTAAATAAGCTCAATTCGCACTCACACACTCACAGCCACATGCACACACACATACGCAGAGCAAACTGGATCATTTTCTATTTTTATTGTAATGTTAAAAATATTACAAAATTTAAGTTATTATTTTTTTAATTTTAAGTTACTGTTTCACTTGGCGTAGCGATTAAATGTGAAGTAATAAATGTAAAAGAGAAAAAAACAAAAACAAAAACAAAACGAAACAAAATATGCAAATATATAGTTCCGAAAGTTTAATAGTGAATTAACATGAAATATGTATGTTATGTAAATGTTGATTTATTGTGACTAAAAATTACCTAAGTTTAAATTTGTGATTATGCCAAAATTTATTCACTTCTATATAGGTATGTACGTATATATACAATATATTATATATACTAATGTGTTTGTATGTATGTATTTAGTTATGTTTTACGTATACCTACATATGTATGTTTTTATGAAATCTACTTCTGGTATATATAAACGATTAGAAATTCATTATTTTATTGAGCAGAAATAAAACTTATAAGTCAAACATTAATTCATGCTTCTTCTTATTTTGAAAAGAATTTGGTGAGGGACTGATGGGAGTAACAAAAATGAACTGAGTAAGGCTTCAGCTATACCATCTAATCAAATATGACTCGGACTGATAGATACAAACAAATTTCCTAGAATGGTACAACCTTTTTTCTTGTTTATGTGAAGTTTGATCTCCATATGTCAATTTTTCTGTGTTTGGCTACTTTTTGTTTACGACGCGACAAGTTTGTTTGGCAATTTTGGGCATTAAAAAATATTTAACAACTAGTTTGCTTGCAATTTTGTGATTCCAATGGAATCATAATTACGGAATCGTTTGAAATTTTTTTGAGGACTCTACTTTATCACGAGCACAAGTATTTAAGTGGCACAAAGCATTCAGTGAGGATCGCAAAGTCATCAAAAACTTGTCTCGTGCGAGTCATCCATCCAACTCTGTTAATACACAGACCATACAAAACATCGAAAATTTTAAAGAAGCGTTACTTGAAGGTCATCGTGTTATCATCAGAGAAATAGCGGAGGATCTCAACATTTCTTAACACATTTTGGTTAATGTTTTGGGTATGAAGCGTAACCCTTCCTTCGTCAAACGCCGGTGGCGATACGTGAGTTTATGAATACGAGTCGATACTAACCAACAATCAACAAGCTAGCGAATGGCGCTTCAAAAATGAGCTCAAATCGAAAAAACCAAGGTCAGTCCGTGTCAAATTTGATCAGATAATATATACTTGTAATTAATTCATATTTTCAAATAATTTTACACACTTAATGACATTTTCAGCATTTATTTATTTATGCATTTTTTGTGGCTTAAGTAATTTGAAGCTTTTACAAAGCAATTTTATGAGCGCAAGCGGAAAATGGTTTTCTAAAAAAAACATAAACCAATATGACTTTGATATTATGTATATACATAGGTATGCGTATGAAATAGGATAACTTGCTCGGCATATTAATACTTGGAATATTTCTATATCAGTTGCTTGTTGATTGATTTAAATCACGTTTGCTATTTCCCTTTTCTTTTTTTAGAATATTTACGCGATATTTTTTTTAGCTTAATATTGCTTTGATAAATGAAACTCCTTCCAATTATTGCATGACAAAGCGCGTGCGCGCAATAAATTGACTCCTAAGTAATCATATTGCATTGCAGGCGAATAGTATAAAATAAAAATACACAAGTGCGTAAATAAATAATACAAACATAAATATAAAAATATAAATATTATTCGTGGAAGTGTGAACTGTAAACAAAGCTCAAAATTCAACACAAATTAATTGGCATTCTTTTTTTATAATAAGTGAAAATAATTCATTTTATTTACAAAATTTCATCAAACGAAATTTTAATTTTTAATCCCTAAATCAGAATTTATCATAATATATAAATCGTTCGAATGTGTAAGTTTGCCGACCACTGCTCTAGAGTATTAAATATGATAGCTCTATACGAGCTCTAGTTCAAAATAGTATAACACGAACTACGCAATGTAAATTCAAAAACTATTATTTTTAATATTAATTATAAATTTGGTATAAATTTTTTTCACCCCGATATCTATAATCAAAAATTTATTTTTAATTTTTCAATCAAAAATTTGTTTAATTAAGATTTTTTGAATTAAAAAATAAAAGAAATTTTATGAGAATGTTAATTCAAATATTTTTTAATGGATTATTTATATATATATATTTATATTATATTTATTTACTACTCAAATAATTTTTTTTTTTGTTATATTTGGTTCTAATTTAAAATAATAATTCTTACCTTACTATCATACTACAGATGTCGCTGTCAAAATCATAATTGCGCTGCCAGCACATACAAAATTTATTGTTACCACGCATATTATTATCGTGGTATAAGCAGAGAACGTATATCATATGTTCTCTGTATCGAATACCAACAGAGAATGTATATCATACGTATATATAATGATCATATGATATACGTTCTCTGATTCCAATCTCTCGATTTATACACAGTGTTGCCAGCTTGGTGGTTTCACCACTAAAACTAGTGGTTTTATTCTTCTACTAGTTGGCAAAAAATTTTTAGTGGTTAGTCGTTTTTTTAGTGATAAATAATACCCGCCAACGGTCAATACAGAAAATTAAATATATAATGGTAAATATAATATACATATAGTACTTTCTCTGTCTCTAAGGTATTCTAGCTTTTTTTTTAAGTTTTCTCTACTATACAGTATAGGTATACAGTCTATAATCAGTTGTTTACTACTGAGGAATTAATAGCTCAAATTGATGACCAGTGGTACCAAATTCACACTTTAACATGAAAAGAATATAAGGATACTAAGAAGTTTTGGTATGAAGTTTTGGCTTTTAAGTACGCACAAGGACATACAAGATTTAAAGATGACTTCTTTTTGATATTGCCTCACTCTTAAGCTGACGTTGAGAGACTTTTTAGTAGTATGAACATAATAAAAAGTAAAAAGCGTAATAAGATGGATCTACGCATGTTGAGATCATATTTAATGGTGAGAGCTGGCTTATTATTAGCTAAAAAATCATAATGTCATAATTATGATATACCAGATCATATCGTTCGGCAAATTGGAGCTAAAGATGCTTACCGATCTCAAAAAATTCAGCTAGAAGATACTGTCGCAGATTCTGTAGATGAAGATAATATTTTTAGCCACTAATTAAAAAGTGATAATTGAAAAAATTTGAATCTCTGTTATTAGTTTAATAGCTTGAAATAATATTTAATATTTTATTATCGACATTTTTTGTATCATTTATATTTTTAAAAGGCTTTTTAATTAAAAATAATTATTTATATAAAATAGTTTTAACATTATTGCTTTCCTTTCCTTCTTATTTTATATATTTGAATTAGTTAGCGTAGCTTGAGAGAGCGCTAGCGGTCTTTTAGTGGTTTCAGCAGAGAACGTATATGATATACGTTCTTTAGTTTCAGAGTCGGTTTAGTGGTCTCTCGAAAAATTTTCTGGCAATACTGTTTATACAAGAGCATGGACATATGGCATCATTTGTTATCATGCAACCCTTTTTTTTATTGTGTAAATAAATCAAAAATATTAAATATCTTAAATGTTTTTGTTGTTTTCCCTAAAATAAGGGGGTATTAACAATTAATGGAGTGTTAATGGTTAAAAAAGTACAAAGAACGAATCTGAAATTCAGTATAAGCTAAGAAATAACATAACACAAACCAGAAAAATTGTTATTCAAATTTTTGAACTTTGTTAACAAATTTATTGAAAACTATAATTTTGCCGCAAAAAAAAACTCTATAGCCCATATTTAAATTAATCCTAATTTGGGTATTGAGCGCGATGTATTTATATATATATTTAGTATCAAATATGCTTAAAGAGTGAAATTGTAAAATATATATATATACCTATATCAAAGTTGTATTAAATTTATTTAACATATAGCATTAATAGACACTATAGTGATAATATGAACGCAGTTATAGCGCTCTGTCATTTTTGCGAGGCACATGGCCCGAGTGCTATATTTTGTACGCAAACATTACGAGATACTAAGCTTGAAGAACTGTCCTTGAATCAACAACATGTAGAAAATAAACTTTGTTCTGCATGCAATTCGTTAGGACAAACTAATGGCATGTACAGTACAGACACTGAAAGTGGCGCTACTTTTTTAAGCACACAGATAGCTGCTTTGCCGGATGTACAATTGCTGGTTAAACAGGCAGCTGTGAGAAGCCTCAGCTGCGAAATTAATTCCAATAAAGATGGAGGTTTTGTATTTTTTGGTGACTCCTCTAGGGGACATGTGTTAAGTCACACATTTCAAGTGAACGATTTACAGGTAAATATCTATTAATTTATTTTATGCCTTTTTTAATAGGTATTGCATTTCCTATTCTAGGCACGCGGATTCTACCAACTCTTCTCAATAATTGTTATTATGAAGGATAAGTATTTTCTCTTAAACACAAAACCATTTCTAGCAGAACATCTGCGCAAAATATCCGCCGACATACAAGCTTCTGCCAAGAAAATTAATGATGAGACAAAAGAATTACCGCGTCAACGTCGTTTATCCAGTGCACAAGTTTTGGTACAAACACCACGCTCTTTAGTAGAACTTACTGGCGAGGAAAATATATTTGCATTCTTGCATTCACATTTTTCATGGATATTGTTGGCCGGCTCACGATTTCTGACGGAACATGTGACTTTCGGCAATTTGCCGTGGTTACCACCGCAAAGCAGTGACCGGCCACCGCAACAGCGTTTGACTTATAACATAACACTGCCAATGATACAAAAGTACGAAGAAACCATTAATGATCCGGAGCGTGAAGAATTTTATTCGCTAAGACATGTAAAGGAAGTCGTGCGGCGAGAGTTCAACACAATCGTTTATTGCGCGCTAACTGGAATAAAAGTAGATATAATATAAAAACAAAAATATTTGTTACAGTTTTTTTTTATAACTTACAGATAATTGTTCGTGGTAGTTCAGATCGCACGTTAAACTTTATGTTGTGCTTGAAAAAACTACTTCCAGAACCAATGCATAATCTCATGCGCATTGATGCTCAGCATCAGCACTCTATTAGTTCCGATTATAAAATAATATCTGTTTCAAACGAAATAGCAGTACCTATGGCATGTAGTTCTGTGTATCGTGTAGACTTTTTAGATGATTCTGCTGATGGTCAGAAGGTTTGTGTGAAATGGCCAGGAGAATTGCCGCGAAAATGTATGTTAAATCAATATCCTTTACATATTCACATTTATATTACTATAGCTATTACTTTGTAGGGCCAGACTTGATGGTAAAATTAATGAAGGCAGTAGACGAGAAACGTTTTACACCGCTGGTCTTAAATAAGCAAACAAGAGTTTTAATGGAAGAGTGGAAAAAGTTCGTATATTCGGATTGTTGGCCTGACAATCAGTACTTCGACGTTGATTTTTTGTTTTTTCTTCTTATGTCTTATAGCAAAGTCATATGTCTAAATCAGGCAAAATCGTCCAATGGCCAAGCGAAACTAAGAAAAGCTTTAGGCGTACAACCTCAAGACCAACCGTTAATAAATTACTGGAGTGGACATTTGCAATAAGACCGCATATACATATATGTAGAAAGCTGCGTCAAATAATGTTTGTAATATGCACATGACTATATCAAAGTAATATAAAGTAATGCTAATATGTACATATATACATTACATTTTAAGTCAATTTGATATCTTATGAAAAAATTTGCGAATATTCTTTTGGTTGTAATTTCAATAATCTCTTAATAAATGCAATAGTTTTTTAACACAAAATGTTAAAAAACTTTTAGAGCACATTATGAAAGAAAGTGTTTTGATCTATTCTAATTTGTTGGTACATAGGTATCCACAATTATCACTACGTAACTATTCATGTACACGTAATTAATTTTAAATATACTTTTACGCGAACAATATTTTTAATTATCTGAGCACTTTTATGAAAAACACATATTTTACTTTGGAAAACATTAAAGTAATTAATCTTTTATTTGTATTACTGATACAGCGCAGGATGACAAGCACTATAAATGTATAACCATTGTCACAAATAAGAATTGCGTGGTTGTACACAATCTAATAACTAACGTAGAAATGTGCAAAATCAATTGTTTACTTCTTGTAACCGCAGCTAGAACGACGACCACGAGCACGCTCAAATTTGCGACCCTTTGATCGGACATATGGTCGGGTGTGAGAGTGTGGAACACCAGGAGCTTTGCCGAAGTGCTTGAAGGCTGTGCGTGCAGTACGTTTGCCTTGCAGCAACAATGTGTTCTTTCCAGTTGGTGATTTAAGCGCCAGCTGATCGAAAGTCAATACTTTACCACCAGCCTTAATGATACGCTCGCGAGCTGTTTGTGAAACATGTAAAGCACAAATCGTCATTTTTGGTACTTTCAAAAGACGAATGTCATTGGTAATGCTACCAACAACCACAACGGTAGCTTCGGGTTGAGCGGCTTTCTTGAAGAAACGGCTGACACGCTGCAATGACATTGGTGCCCGGTTAATTCTGCTCATAAACAGACGCTTCAACACGATGCGATTGAACTTCTTGTTGGTACGACGCTGAAGGAAGCGGTACAGCTATAGAAAAATATAATAGAATTTTTACTGTAATATAATTACAACAGTATATTAACAAAATGTTTAGCTAACAATACGTACAATACATAATATATGTATTACAGTAGAATACTCGTACGTATAATTAATTATGCATTCAATTAATTTGTTAAATACTTACCTTAACAAGAAGACGCAAGTATACATCTTGAGATTTGGGCTCAGTTCTGCGAACTTTGCGATCGTATTTGTGGCTGATATCGATACCCTGAAATGGTGCACAGAAAAGTTTTCATTACATTTTTTCGTGTTTTAATTTCCGTGAGTTTTCATCAGATCGTATAGTTCCGAAAATAAGTATAAACTACGATGTTTGAAAATAAATAATTATTGTAAAAGTTTAGTTTAGGTCTTACCATTGTGGTGACCGGAAAAAGAAAGAGAAAAGGAGAAAAGATACGTGTGATTGGTAATACTGGCTGATTTTTGATATATGTCAATTTGACACTTCCTATGCTCTGTTTAATGAACACCAAAATACAATTTACAATACTGTTATACTACCGACTTGCAACCCTGGGAATAAAAATATCTTTCGTTTCATATTTCAAATTTTTAATGGAAACATAGTTTTATTGGATATAATGTGTTTAGTTTTTTCTCTTATTTTGTTTAGTTATATGTTTTTCTTAACTAAATGTGTACGAATAAGATATTCATTTTATCACAGGGAATGTTCTATACTTTCCTCTTTTTCATTATTTTCATGAATAATACCATACCTGCAATTAAAATAAATGAGAACAAATAAATACACGATAATTGATTCTATAACATACCAATAAATACTGTAATAACGAACGCAAACATTAACCACATCCAACATTTCCAGGCATTGCGTGAATGTTCAGCTAATTTTTCGTTTTCTTTGTTCAGTGAATTAATATTGCGATCAGCCATATTTGTGGATCTTGAAGCTATTTCAGTATCCTTTTTTATTATCCTATTTGCAGTCTCTGTCTGCTCTTTCAGATTTCGCGTTAGCGACAGCATATGCTCAGTAATTTTTTCTTGAGCTTCATTGTAATATTTAACCGCTTCATTCATGTTATCGGCATTTGTTATGGTCTCATCTGGCTTTCGTCGGCGAATTGTATCTTCTGTGGAGAATACCAAAACACTAAATTTATGAACCTCAATGTACAAATTTTAAAACCTACCGCTTAGCAACTCTTTTCGTATATCTGCATAATGTTTCGAACTTTGGAGTTGATGCATTTCCTTTATTGCATCCTCCCCTGCTTCATATGCTGGGCGTAGTTTAGATCGTAGGCCTTTTACAGGTGGTGGACTGTCTATATAATTCGTAAGAACCTTTAGAGCCTGTAGTCGTTTTGTATAATCTGCAATTTTCATATTACTACTTAAACTGAAAAGATAATTCAATTATAATATTGCACAAGCCAATAACTGTTGTACTAACTCGTCAAGTTCCTTGAGTTCCTCTATCATTGTATCCAAAGATTTTATGAACTTTTTCAAACGCCAATAATTTGCTTCGTCCTTTGACAGCACTTCGCAGTTGGATAGAAGCGTTCTAATATTTACATTTAGTTTAGTAGTCATAATATAAAATTATTGCACATAAAAACACGTATAAACAATTAATAGAAAACTGAAACGTCATTTAGGCAGTGCACTCTATTGACAGTTGCTATCAACAGAGTTGTCCACCTTTTTAAATGTGTTTAAAAAGTGTGTAATCATGCAAAATCTATTAACTAATTATAAAGTTTTTATTACTTTAAATAAAAAGGAAAATATCGTAAGTTTTTCACATTCGCATATTTTATGTTGTTAAAATTGAAAATAGTACATTTTACAAGAAACATATTACATATATGAACTTGTCAGACTGAACATACGCTACAGATTGCATTGCTGAACGCGTATTCACTACATAAAAATCATAATTGAAGGAAAATTTGCGGAAAAGTGAAGTAAACGCACAATCACACAACAAAGAAGGAAAATTATAAATTCCAATTAGTTTTTGATAAAAAAACTTTAACCAATCCGCACAGAAAAAAGCATTTAGTTAATTAATTGTTACTCTCCCGTCTCTTATATCGATTTCGTGTGGGATAATCTCAGTTCCCCGCCAGTAGCAACATGCAAGCAATTAAGTGCGTCGTGGTAGGCGATGGTGCGGTCGGTAAGACTTGCTTACTTATCAGCTACACAACAAATGCCTTTCCTGGTGAATATATTCCCACTGTGTTCGATAATTACTCGGCAAATGTAATGGTTGATGCCAAACCCATTAATCTTGGACTTTGGGATACTGCCGGACAAGAAGATTACGATCGCTTACGTCCATTATCGTATCCACAAACTGATGTTTTTCTTATCTGCTTTTCTTTGGTGAATCCAGCGTCATTTGAAAACGTACGCGCTAAGTGGTATCCGGAAGTGCGTCATCATTGCCCTAACACGCCCATTATATTGGTGGGTACCAAATTGGACTTGCGCGACGATAAAAACACTATTGAAAAACTGCGTGACAAAAAACTGGCACCTATAACTTATCCTCAAGGATTATCCATGGCCAAAGAAATTGGTGCTGTCAAATATTTGGAATGTTCGGCACTCACGCAAAAAGGTTTAAAAACAGTATTTGATGAAGCCATACGCTCCGTCCTTTGTCCAGTGCTGCAGCCCAAATCTAAACGTAAATGTACGTTACTCTAATTTGCCGCTACATCAAGCCGTGCGTCGCATAGTAGACGTCGGAAACCGAGCGACAGCCAAAATAATTGAAGTTTAAACGGGAAAACGCCCATCGCATGCAAACAATTTAATCGAAAACAAAGAGAAAAATCAAAATAACCAAAAATAAATAAATATAATATAATAAATTTGAAACATTTGGAGCAAACTATATACACAGCCCATCGGAAGTGTTGTGATGAATGCGTAATCTAACATCGTCTATGCTATTACTCCCAACAAAATACCACAAACAGCCGAGTTTTTGATGTTAAATGTTGTCAATATCGTCTATAAAATTTTTTTTATTAATCTTGAGTAGAAAAAGCTATTGCTTGTGCTTGTACAAATGACAGATCGAACAGACATTTGTTTCCACTTTACGCCATATATCTTTCTTGGTGTTGATGCACAACCGGAGCGAATGACTAATCGCATTAATATTATTATTTGGCCTATAATTGCGGGAGCTGCATAACCAGTCGCGATACTGACTATTCTCTTAGAAATAGTTAAATAGCAGTTTTATATACTAAGAATGAAAAAGGATTTATAGTTTAAATTACCATTTGTTCTTTAATATTCGTGAACATTATTTATCTCAATATTTTTCGTGCTTATTTAGTATTATGTGTAACTTTTGTTGCTTTATTGAAAATAAACTTAAATTCTGTTTTCTCTTACATTAATTTGAAACTAAAAGTTTTGACGTCTACTTATTAAAAAATAAAAAAGCAAAGGCTATAATCCAATTGCTCTGGAATACGTAGAATAGATATCGGTTATAAATAATGAAAACGATTAATCTTTTATATTATAAAAGTGCTTTTTTTTAATAATATAAAATAAAATGTGTAAATCAAAAATTAATGGATTGAACAAAGTTAGAAATGAAATTAAACCAAAACAGAAAATGATTCATGAATAACTAAAAACATATGTATGTAATTGAATTGAAAATGGAAATGTGTTAGTACAGTTCATATAGTATAATAGGCATTCATGTTTATCTACTAATAGTTGCCGTAAACCAAATGTTAGCCAACTAACCAAAAATTAACTACGATTTAATAACGAAGAAAGTTTAAAGAGCTCACATGCGGATAAACAAAATTAATAAAATGTTTGCAAATTGTATGTATAATCTATTGTAGTTGTATTTAATACCAAAAAATATATATGCAGATGCTCATATGGGATCCGAAAATCACAAGTGGTTGCATTTCCATGCTTGTGTACAATTTGTAATGCGTTTAAATCATTATGTATTTCTGAGCGTAAGTTTAAGTACGAATCATCGATACATATTCAGATAACTAACTACATACATGCAGATAAGTAAATCTTATGATTACTACAATCGAAAAATTAATTGAAGTTAGTTTCATTACATATTGATGGAATTAATAATACTAATTGAATGTGTGTCTCTGATAAAAAAAAATAAAATTAATTAATTAAAAATTCGTAAAATAACTTAGTCTTATTTAGCACTAAATATGATTTTATTTAGGAAAACGTTATGCTTGAGTTAACAAATGCAGTCGCTACAAGTTTTATGTTCCCTTGATAATGCTATACCGGAACTTCAGTATGCAACAACGGTCATCGTGCGTGCACGCAGCTCAAATATATCACAGTACATATATGTACATATGCTTCTATATTTATGTATGTGAGATAATGCTAAGACATTGTGCTTAAGGCCTTGCGCCGTTGTAGAATAGTGTCAGTTCGTATTCATTCAGCAACGTAAATCTAAACAAAAAAGGCTAAAAATAAAATTTACGTAGCCATTAATAAGACGAAAGAAATTAATTTTAAGCGTATGAACATATATGCATTTGTATGTATATCTGCAATGATTTTTATGTTTGCATTTACAGGCAGATACATACATACGTTATATGTACATATAACTAACGCCTCTTTCTGTATTTTGATCTTTATTATTTTTTACTGCATATTCCTACATAGGTATGTATAACATATGATGACTTATTTGTATGTACATACATATGAATAAAAGTTCATAAGCACAAAATTGATACAAATACAGTATTATATGCATACATATGTATGTAAATATGTATACAGAGGAAGTTAAATAATATGAGACACATTTGCTTATCTCAACCCCATTAGACCATCGCGACAACTATTTGATTGTTCTGGAACTGTTTGCGTGGCTTTATTTCAGTCATTTCTGTTTGTAGGATTTCAAAATTTTCGTATGTATTAGTCGACACACAAAAAATTGCTGACCTTTACAGTACAATAACACATACATATGATCATCTCTCGTTATAAAGAAATTGTATAATTAAAAAAAAAAAACATTTCATAGTTGTATTTGGCATTTATTACAAGTGCAATGCACCTACACAAGAATTATAAACTTTGTAGATTGCGCTTGTGAAGCCAAATGCACATTCTTAAATATTTATGTAAATATTTGAATTGTACAAATTTTCGAAGCATCTTTACATCAAATTTTAAATATTAGTAGAAATAATAGTACATCTAATGAACATTTTTGGCACAGTTAAGTAACATAAAGTATTTTGAAGTCCCGCTGTCTTAAACGTACGTTTTGATAGTTTGTGCTAGTTAAACTTATTATTTATATTAATGTGTTGAGATTGTTAAAAGTTACAAAAGGCAAGTGTTAACACATGAAAACTATTATACTAATATAGTACTACAATTAGATATTAAAACATCGATTCTTTCAATTCGAGATAAAGAATTTGTTCTTTGTTGCTTTTAGAATCTAAAAAAAAAAATATTTAGATTAGAATTCATCATGACGTGCCAGCGCCTCGCCAAAATCAGTCGCTTGAGAACCAACGAAGACATCATATTTTTCTAAAATTTCTTCCTTCGTTAGTTTTTCATCGTCATCATTATCGGCTTCAAATACTAGATGTTTTGCTTCACTCTCGGCGTGATCAAAATCTTTCGGCACGATCCAAGTGCGTACCTCCTCACGGTCCAAAAAGCCGTCCCCATTTATATCACGAAACTTAGCAAAGCCTTCCCGTTCACTTTTAACCCATTCTGGTTCTTCATCGTTCGGTTCAGAATTACGGTACATGTCGGCAATGTATTCATCCACACTAACTTTGCCATCTCCGTTGGCATCAATGTCCTCAATTGTTTCCGTTAGTACTATATCTTTCATTATGGGATGATCTTCTGGATGTAGAAATGCGGTGAACTCTTCACGTGTTAGTTTATCGTCTAAATCTTTATCAGCAACTCCCCAACGCCGACGATCCCGTTTTAGTAAGCGTTTGAAAGACATGCTATGCTCATCGTTTTCAATTTCCTCTTTGTCCATTGTATCCAAAAAGCCATAAACATTATCCCGGTATGCCTCCCAGCTGATTGTGTCATTGTTGTCTGGATTATGCATTTTCCACGTACGGTTAACATCTTCGTCTATGTAACGACGTTGTGTATATTCAATCCAACGTTTCAGCTCCGAAAGTGTTACAAATCCATCTTTGTCTTTATCAATTCGATCAACGATGAGTCCCAAACGTCGTTTACTCTCTTCCGGCGGTAATTGATCAAATGATTTTGCTTCATCTTCACCTAAGAAGGCTTCATGATCATACTGTTTGTTGTGATGACCACCTTCAAAATGTTTTTCACCATCTGAATCATGATCTAACGGACTGTGTAGTGTATCACCATCAATAATTTCCTCATCGTCAGGCTTAGGAATAGCATATGCCAAGAAAACTACATTTAAAAGTAGAAGCAGAGCAAATGATAAACGAAACACCACCATCCTTATATCAATCTCGATGTCTTATCAGAAAACTTGTATTATTACTAAATTATGTATAAGAAGTTTCTCTGCGAACAAAACTATTAGAATCAACAAGCGCTACGATAATAATGCAATGTTTTAATTGCCTTCTATTAAATCAATTTTGGTCAACGGATACGTGTACTTTGACACCAGTGTTGTTCGTTTCGATAAATGTAAAACATTACGTTTATAAGCGATACATTTTTTTTATTTAATGGCATTGGTGTAATTGATGTAAGAAGATTTAAAAAAAATGTGTAAGCAATTTTAAATTTTGTTTATTAAACAATTGTAATTCTAAATTTCAAAATAGGGGTTTTTCCTAACGAAATATCTAAAACGTATGAAATGGTACTACTTTTGCAACCTTGCAACATTTTTCTTACCTATATAGGAATTACTACACAAAGCTGAACTGTATAAAATTTTTTGAAAGCGCGGCGGCTCTGTCATTCAATTTTGAAAACGGCGTTTTTGCTTTTGTTGTTGCGGTTCTTTTTTGGTGTGAAAAATCTATTTTTCTTTGATATTTGTCGAATTATAATAACCGGAAAAGTAAAATTTAAGGATAATTGAGTTTAATGTGTGATTAACCGTAGTCCTGTATATATAAAAAGTAAAACAAGACTAATTTAAAAGAAAATAAAGTAGTTCTCATGCATTTATACATTGATTATATATGTACATATATATATTATTTAATAATTGTTTGTTATATTTTCAGTAGATTAGGAAATATGACTACGGAATCTGCGCTTCCGCTACCTCGCTTGCCCGTACCGGAAATTCGTGCAGAAATAGCGTTCCAACACTCGCAGAAACAAAATCAGATTTTACAGGAATATCGACTTCGCCCACCGAAGCTAAGATTGGCAAACCGTAGCTACTTATCGACGTGTATTTCAACAAAAGCACATGCGATATCATTCCGTGGTGAATCTGATGGCAACTGCAATGCTTTACCAGAATTAGATGCCAATGGATTGAGCGGTTCATATGATCGATCTATGAACGAAACTTATTTTGAACAATGCTTCACGCGCCTTGCAAAAATTGGCGAAGGCTCATTTGGCGAAGTTTTCAAAGTGCGTTCTAACGAAGATGGACGTATGTACGCGATAAAAATGTCAAAAGAATTATATCGTAGTGAGCATTATCGTCAAGAGCGACTAGAGGAGGTGCGTCGGTATGAGCAATTTTCAGGTCACGCAAATTTTGTGCAATTTTATCGCGCGTGGGAGCAAAACGATCGTTTATACATGCAAATGGAGCTATGTCGTGAAAGTTTGGACAGATATTTAGTACGTCGTCGACATATACCTGAAGAAACAATTTGGAATATTTTACTAGATTTGTTGCTTGCATTGAAGAATCTGCATGACCAAAATCTCATTCATTTGGATATTAAATTAGATAATGTCCTGATAGGCGATGACGACAGTTGTAAATTAGCTGATTTTGGTTTGGTTATTGATGTAGATATAGTAAGTATGAAAATTTATAATTTAATAAACATGATTTAATTCATGTTTAGCCTGCCCGTTTCTTGTTATGATTTACATAAATTTTGTATATAAAATTATTTAAATTTTTTTTAGGCAAACCGTCATCAAGCAACAGAAGGAGACTCTCGCTACATGGCGCCGGAAATACTACAAGGAAAATTTTCAAAAGCCGCTGATATTTTTAGTTTAGGAGTTGCAATGCTTGAATTATCTTGTTATTTGGAGTTGCCACACAATGGACCATTATGGCAACAATTACGTAGTGGAGTTTTACCGCAAGATTTTATGAAAAGTGTGTATTTTAAGCGAAAGTCAACAAAAATTAATGAATAATAATAAATTTTATTTAGACATATCACCGGAACTGGGAGTACTCATTAGGCAAATGATGTCGCCAGATCCTGATTCCCGACCAACAGTGGACCATCTTTTAAGTCATAAAAAGTTAGTTTGTTTAATGGAGCGTAGGGATCGATGGAAGTTACTAATAAAAATGGTAAATATAGAACATATCAAAAGTTTATGCTCTCGAAAGTAAATTGTTTCTTGATACACGATAGATAGACGATTTTAAAATCGCCTACAGAGAGTATACAGCTCTCGACTACTAATAATTACACAATATTTATCTCTTTACAGAAACAAACAATACGGCATTCACGCAGAGTGGCGTGGTCAAAATTGTGTAATTTGAAGCAAATCATTTTTAATTTCGTCACATCTATACTTACTGCATACATGAACCGCGATACGGCCAGTAATGAACACAAACCTAATGTTTCTCCACTACAACAGCATCTTAGAGATAAGCGACCACCTATGATCTCCATGCGTTTACATGCATCAACACCTACCGCGGGACACACGCGAAATACTTCCATCGAATTTTTACCAGGGGAAAATTGCTTGAATTTATCTCAGCAAAGCACACCTATTACCTTTGCGACGCATAATAAAATTGTAAACTCAACCCCTGTAAATCACAATAACCACAGTTTCCGCTCACGCAAGGATTTGACTAAGACAAGTTTTAAGTAAATATTTGTTAAACTGTATTTGTTTTGAAATGCAAATTATAATGTTATTCTTTTTTGTTTTCAATGTTACAGAGCGGTAGAGAACGAGTGTGGTATCGAAAATTTTAATGACATTCAATCTTCACCAACCGCAATAAGTCGACCAAATAGTTTCCTCAATTTAGAGGACTTGGAACAGAACTCACAAGATTTTGTCTCTTTGGATAAATCGAGTCTTCAAGAGTGCCGAAAAAAACTCTTTACGAAAATGGATGATTAACTGACTACAGATATATAGAGAAAGCTGCTTTGGTAATAATTGAAAATTCAAGCCAAATTCATAAGCGTTTAAATTAATATAATATTAATTTATTATTGCATAATAATATTAATAATTGCATACACGCTTCAAGGAAAACGTATGCTTTTTTACGTTAGACGTAAGCAGATAATTTACGTAATAATTCTACGCAGGACGCACACACGTATTTACCATCTGTAATAAGTGCTATTTGCTCAAAAAAAAAGTTAACTGAAAATTTGATTAAAATAATGTTTGTTTTGTTTTAGTCTGGTAGGAATGTAAGTTATATTTTCGGCGATACATATGTGATATGTTAATACAATATACTTTATACATACATGCATACAAACTTATATAAAAAAACTATTATATACGAAATGCACAATGCATATTTTGTTGATTTTTATGAATCATATACATACATACAGTATAGTAGGTGCCTGTTAATTTTTATCTGCTAATGCAAAACTCCTTTAGCCAAATTAAGTATGAAATTTGAAAACAAATCAAAAATAAATAGATAAATGCTAAAAAAAATGTTGTTATAAGTGTAATTAATATTAGTTTTGTAAGCTTCCCTATTTGCGGGAGGAAGGCAGTTTTAATTATGGTAAAGTATTCTTGGACCCCGGTAAGTATGAAGGCAGTGTTGCTAATAATGCATTAAAGAAATATTGAGTTAAAATTTGTTTTGTAATACAGAAAATCTGAATTTAAAAAAATTTTTAAATTTCTAATCCTAAATACCGGATTGAAAAGTTAAAAAAATTTGAATCCCAAAATTTGGTTAAAAACTAAAAATGAAATTTGAATACAAAAAACCGGCTTGAAAAAATGTACCCAAGTTTTCAATTAAAAATTAAAAAAAAATTGTTTTAGAATTTACATTTTTCGCGTTTCTTCGAGTTCTACCATTTTGGTTATATTTTGTCTTATTTATATTTAATTGCTTTTATGTACAAGTAGTTATAGCGTTTCAGTTGAAAATATGTAAATCCTTTCTTTTTAACCCTTTTCTTTCCAGCTTTTAATTTGAAAATTAAAATCTTTTATTAGGGTAACACGAATTTAATCATACAAATTGGAGTAACAAATAAAAAAATTTAAATTCATATTTTTTAATCAAAAATGTTTAATTAAAAAATTCACAACCCAGTATAAAGGTAACATGGAACCGAAATGGCTTCTAGGTCGATGCTGTATGCATCTAGTAAACACTGAGAACAACTGGCAAAAATATTTAAGGTAATCCAAATAATGGGTTGCCGAAAATTGTAAGAAATAATAAAACAGAAAAAGGAGAAGAAAAAAGGTAGGTAACAACACTCCTACACCAAGGACTAATAATAATACTGAATGGTACAAGGTACCAGTAGAACAGTGGAAAAGCCAAACAGAGTTAGTGGAGACCAGAACGGATACACTAATATCGAAGTGAGAATTAACGTTTGCTTGTATATATACTTTGATGGGTGAAACTAAATTCAAAACTATGTTATTTTGGTAAAGTAGTGTCTAAAAGCAGGCGAACGTAAAAAGGCGAGATCTGGTAGAGAAAATTAATGTAACAGTAATGTTATGAGACTCTCAAAAAGGAAATGACATACACGCAAGCATTCCCTTTCTCATTGATGTAGTATGCATCCATTCATTTAGTGGAATTTGTTCCAGAATTTACTAAAGCTTCATCTATCTCTCCATCTCTGTCATAAAAAACTTATGTTGGGTTCATCGAAGTCTCGTTGAAACTATTAATACCGTTAACTCGTCAAATGATTTATTATTTTGTGATAAATTACTTTAATACAAGGTTGAGCAGAATCAAAATATTATTCCTAAATTGTTACTATTGCTAGCAGGGTCTTTTAGCACATTTGCAACGCTGTGTGACATTAAACAAATTTTATAACCAAGAAAGTATCAACACGAAGTTATGCAACAAATCTTCAACAATTTCATAACTTCGAATCGATAGCTGCATATCTAAACATACATATATAGATAATATATAAAACTAAAAGTGGACAACAAAAACCCTAAACGTTAACTGTTTCAAGCCATTAAGCTGTAATGTCAAAAAAACACGAACAAAACAAAAATATAAAAAAAATAAAACCAAATGCTCGCTCACTTTATGTAGTTATACACGTACATACATACATACATATGTTATATGATATGTATCTGAATGTGTGTATATATATATACGGGAACGTATAAATGTACGTATGTATATACATATATATTACATATTAAATGACTCATTTGCTGACTGTAAATTCACTTTCACTGACTATAAGGTGCTTCACCTTTACTTCAAATCTGGTGGAGCTCTATATGTACAAGCGTATAATACATATATGTACATAGCGACAGTGCCAGTTACAACTGGGATACAAAACATACATACATACATACATACGTTTTAATGAAGTGCATAAGTCGACTTTTAAGCGCTAAGCCATTTTGTCTCGCCTTATGGCATAACATAATGCATGACTATTGGTCGTATGACAAATGTGACGGCGGCCTGAATGAGGCTTAGCCGAATGGGGTGTGAAGCAGCAGTGTAGTAAAGTGAAGTAGGACAAAATTGATGTGCCTGCATGCGATCTATTTGACGCCGATAGACGGAAAACCCCTATGAACACTTGAAGATAAGTTTACGCACATAAATTTATGCAAAAACTCGCAAGCACTTTTTTCTATGTGTTTGTGGCTGTGTGCGTGTACTCGTTGCCCTGCTTAAATGCGTCCGTACATGTGTGTGTGTGTATATATTCGAAGTCGTACAACTCGTACACGTACTGAAGTCGTGAACTGTGTCAATTAGCTGTGAGTTTGTTTACTTACCGCTGACGGTTGCCGGATATCGCTGTGCTCGCTCGCTTGGCCGAATGCAGAAAATTCATTTCATTTTCGTTGGTATTTACAATTACAATAAATTAACTGCATATCTGCGTCACAATCATAATTAAAATGCGTGGTGTACAATACTGATGAAAATGTCAAAGAATTACACATTCGATTTTGTTGGTAAATGTACGAATACGAAGGGGTATGTGTGTGTGTGTGTGCAACGTTGTCAATTACCAATTCACCCATTCCTGCTGTGACTCATTACAAGCGTTTATACTGCATGGTACGAGTTGCATAAGTAGGAGATTGGATTGGTCGTTGGGCTTATCGAATAATTAGCAGTGAGTGGGTGAAGCCACTTAAAATGTAGAATAAAAATAGAGCATTATCTGTATATACTACATTCTTCAATTTCAATTTCTAAATAGAATTGATTTGACCTACTTGTAACAAGTTTAATGCAAAGATTGTGCAAACCTTAGTTTTCCAACTTGTACTACTTTCATCATAGACTGCAGAATACATACATATGAAGAGCCCACTGGAGCAGTAATCATTAATCTAGGCATCTATTTTGTATACATCAAACTAATCCAAAAAATTATTTGGTTTTATTTAGTTTCTCAACATAATTATTAAATTTAATACCTAACAAATTTTTTATTCATCTTTCCCTAACACAATTATTTTCTTGTTAAGTTAGCCTCGTTCAGCGCTGTTTCGCATTAGGCTCTACTTAATGGAACGTATCCTATGCGTTAGGCGGTGGTTTACTGTACCAATCTCGTTCTAGCTTAATGTATAAAAATTATTATATATTTTATTGAGCACTAAAATCAACCGGATATTGAATATTTAAGTGAAAATTATAGTCTAAGAACGTTGAAACAATCGACTAATTTAAATTTATGCGAAGCAATGAAAGACAAGGTAGGCTAAATATTAGAATTCGCCGTTATCACGCTTTATATATACGACTTTGTTAAGTACCACCCTTTTTGTTCAGCTATAAAGTCAGTTGTTATTTAGTTATTTAAGCGTATATTTATACATATTTTAAGAACACACAGTAAGATTTTTGTAGAAAGAATTAATTATATTGTTTTAAAGGATATTAAGCGCAAGCTCCGACGGCGCTAAAAGCTAATCACTTCTGCTGTGATTCCGACATTCTCCGTAGATGACGCCTAAACAAAAAATTCTCGACTAGAAGATATTGTCTATATAATGTCCTACGGTCGAAAAAATATCAAAAATTGACAAAATGGCCGCTTTAACATAAATCGCTTTTGGCCTGCTAAAATTTGATTTTTGATCAGATCAGAATATTCACTGCCTACTAATAATCACTGCAGATTCGAAAAATGCTGTAAAGACAAAAACGCATTGAAAGACTATCGGTATATACAAGAATCAAAAAAATGTGGAAAACGGTTGGCCTCAAGGGCCATCCCTGCAACTTCCCTCTAATTTCATACGCTAACGTTCAAATTTCGCTTTTTTCACTGCTTTTGAGCTCTTCGAAATTTTTCGTTTTCGATATCTAGCAAGTAAATCCGATTTCGATTCGGTTTGCGGCAAACGATGTGTTTTTTCAAGGTTTAGAACTGATTAGTTTTTGGTGTCGATCGGTCAAGTCGTTTGGAAAAAATTCGAAAAAAACGATTTTTCAAAATTTTTATTTTTGAGATTTCTCGAAATCTACTCGTCCGATTGGGTCCAAACTTACATGAAATTCAAGTGCAATGAAACCCTTTGGAATGCCGTTTAGTTTATTCAAATCGGTTGAGCAGTTTAATAGTTATAAGAGGGTCACATACATCCACACACACACACATACATCCACACATACATACAGACATACGGACATCATCGTAGAAATGTTCGGGGAAGCTTCCTCGACCCTCAGAACGTCGAGATCTGTTGAGAACTTGATTTTTGCAAAATGGGGTGAAACCAATATCTTCCCGATTTTTAGAAAATTTTCCATTTTCTTAGCGGGAAGTTAAAAAAAATAGATTTTCCGAAACTTCCTACATTCCAACACTCGATGTTTTTTCATTTCACAGAAGAAAATGCAGAAATTCAAAAGACTTAAGCAACGAACTTCCTTTCAAAACGCATATGCATATTCGTACTTAGGGACCTCTGGTTAAATTAAATAAATTTGTGAATTTTTTCTAATTAATTCATTGTGAATACTTAGCACAGTTGCGAAGACAATATAATCCACATTTTCAAAAATTAATAGCTCTAATAGAAATAAAATTCGTTAGCTTTGAGTGAATCTGCAAATGTGCGTTTATACATATATAAATACATACATGCAAACACGCATGCACACGTAGAGATTTGCATACACATTAAGTCGTCGTCTATGATTTTTTCACTTTCATTTCGGTCAAGATTTTGTTCGTTTATGCAAATTGATTTGCTATACAATATGGGTGCGCACACACACAAACATAAACGCACACATTCATAGGATATTTACTATGTATGTGTTTATTTATAAGTATGTGTAATGGATTTGGCGTTTGGACGAGATGAAAGGCCAACATCAAGAGTCAAATCTTGCAGTCGGTTTACACAGCTGATGTGTAACAAAATAAATAAAAAAAATAACAACAACAGTAGATGTGAATGCCGGCCATTCACATGTTCAACGGTATTGTATG